TATGCTTTTGGGGTGGAATATTCTATAGATGTCTGTTAGTTCCATTTGCTCTAGTTCCCAGTTTAACGCCAGTGTTTCTTTGTTTCTGCTTTGATGATCTGTCTATTGCTGTCAGTGGAGTGTTAAAGTCTCCCACTATTATTGTATGGTTGTCTAGGTCTCTTTAGGTCTAGTAGAACTTGTATAACACTGGGGGCTCTAGTGTTAGGCACATGTATATTTAAAATTGTTATGTCTTAGCTCGATTCCTTTACCATTATATAGTAATCATCTTTGTCTTTTTTTACTGTTGTTAATTTAAATTCTGTTTTATCTGATATTAAAATGGCTACTCCTGCTCTTTTTTGGTTTCCATTCCATTTTGGTGGAATATTTTTTCCCACCCCTTTACCTTGAATCTATAGGAGTCTTTGCAAGTTAAGTGGATCTCTTGAAGGTGGCAGAAATTTGGGTTGTGTTTTTTTTTATCCATTTTGCCAGTCTATATTTTTTTAGTGAGGCATAGAGGCCATTTACATTCAGAGTTGATAATTATATGTAAGGTACTCATCCATTCATCACACTAGTTACTCTCAGGTTGGCCTCTTTCCTCCCTTCCTTCCTTCTTTTTTTCTTCCTTCCTTCCTCCTTTCTTTATTTTCTTCTTTTCATTATTGTGTTGGTGTTCCATAAGGCCTGTGACTTTATGGTTTCTGACATTTTTCTACAGGTATTTCAATTTTTTGTTTTAGTATTTAGAACTCCTTTGGGTATTTCTTGTAGAGCCAGTCTAAAGGTGACAAATTTCCTCAGTGTTTACTTGTCTGAGAAAGACTTTATTTCTCCTTTATTTATGAAACTTAGCTTTGCAGGATACAAAATCTTTGGTTGACTGTTATTCTGTTTGAGGAGGTTGAAGATGAGTTCCCAATCCCTTCTGTCATATAGAGTTTCTTCTGAGAAGTCAACTGTTAGTCTGATAGGTTTAACTTTTTATGTTATTTGATGCTTTTTTCTCACTGCTTTAAAAATTTTTTACTTCACATTAACTTTGCACAACTGGATAATTATATGTCTTAGGGATGACCTTTATGCTATGAATCTTCTGGGGATTCTTTTGGCTTTTTGTATCTGGATGTTTAGCTATCTGACAAGGTTAGAGAAGTTTTCCTTCAAATAGGTTTTCCAAACCTGTTGCTTTCTCTTTTTCCTTGGGAGCTCAAAACCCCAGCACTTTGGGAGATGGAGGCAAGAGAATTGCCTGAGCAACATGGCGAGACCTCATCTCTACAATAAATAAAAAAAAAATTAGCTTGGCATGGTGGTGCATGCCTATGGCTCCAGCTACTGGGAAAGCTGAAGCAGAAGGATTGCCTGAGCCCAGCAGGTCAAGGCTGCGGTGGCTATGAGCATGCCACTGCACTCCAGCCTGGGCGACAGAGTAAGACTCTGACTCCAAAAAAATAATAATAATAATAATAATCTATAAAATGCTGGGCACTGTGGCTCACACCTATAATCCCAGAAATTTGGGAGGCAGAGGCGAAAGGATTGCCTGAGCTCAGGGTTTTGAGACCAGCCCAAGCAATATGGCGAAACTTCATCTTAACAATAAATCAAAAAAATTAGCTAGGCATGGTGTCACATGCCTGTGGTTCCAGCTACTTGAAAGGTTGAAGCAGAAGGATTGCCTAAGCTCAGAAGGTCGAGGCTGCAGTGGCCATGACCATGAGCCACTGCACTCCAGCCTGGGCAACAGAGTGAGATTCTGACTCAAAAATAAATAAATAAATAAATAAAACAAAACAAAAAAAAACTTCCTATGATTATTTGGTTTGCACATTTTACATAATCCCACATTTCTTGGAGACTTTGTTTCATTCTCTTGTTCCTTTTTTTCTTTATTGTTGTCTGATTGAGTTAACTCAAAAGCCTTGTTTTCAAGTTGAGGACCTTCCTTCTGCTTGTTCTACTCTACTTTAAAACTTTACACGGTATTTTGCCTTTTCCTTAATGATTTTTTCATTTCCAGAATTTGGACTTTTTTTTTAAGGTGTCTACCTCTTTGGAGAATTTTTCATTCATGTTCTGAATAGATTTTTTTAAATATATTTATGTTGGTTTTCAATTTTTCCCCGATGTTCACTAATCAATTTTATAATCAACATTTTGAATTCTGTGTCTAGAATTTCAAATTTCATTTTGGTTAGAATTCATTACTGAAGAGTTGGTGTGGTCTTTTGGAGGTGTTGGAGAACCGTTTTTTTTCATACTGTCAGAATTATTTTCCTGGTTCCTTCTCATTTGGGTAGACTATTTATTCTTATTTGAAGTTGGCAGGGGCCTTACATACGACTGTAGGGTTTCCTTGTTTATATGTAGCCTTGGTGTGGTGAGTTTCTCAATTACCTGCTGTGGCAGTCCTGTGCTAGCTACCTGCATTGGTTCACGGCATCCTGAGTTGCTGGTATGGCATGGAAAGTGGTGTTAGCTGGGATTTAGGATCAAGTTTTCCCAAGGTATTTTATCAAATATGGGGGGCTGTAATGTTGACCTCCATCCAGGAGGTGGTACTTATGAGAGAAAACCAGCAGCCGTGGTGGCTATGGGCGTTCTCTTTGGTGTGTATTGCTTCAGGGAAGTGATCAACCAATGTAGGCAAAGGTGGGCCTCTGGGGATTACTCAAATACTCTATTTTGAGCCTTCAAGGGAAGTGTGGGGGGTTTGGGAAGAAGGAGCTTGAGCACTACACAAGAGTGCATTCTTGGCTACCCCAGTGGGGATTAGGAAGGAGTTCCAGGCCACTGGAGTAACACTGCTGTATCTGGTAGGCACACAAGAGTTTACATAAGGAGTGAGAGATTACTATGGCAAGGAGTCTCACCTGGCTTACCACTTTGGACTCAGGCAATTTGCCTTGTATTCATAACATGCAGTGGTCCTCAAGTGTTTGCAGGCAACCCACCTCAGCCAGGAACTGTCTGCGGATGTGGAAGTTGCATTTGGGGCCTGTCCCCTCCCAGGCCAGCTATAAAGCAGCCATGCCACTGCAAGGTTGAGTTCCTGGGAAATTGGGACTAGCACAGCTCAAGACTTTCTTTTTTCCTGCACCATTCCACATAGGCTGTGGCAAGGCATGGCTGTGGGCAAGGCCGTTAGTTTTTGGTGAGAGACTGGAGTTCTGCAAGGCTCATGGGGCCCTCCAGGTCCCCAGCTGGAGCACAGAACTCCTGAATTTTCCTCACTCACCTTGCCCACTGCATCTGGAGGTAGCCAGTGAACTGTGATGGTGCAGGCAAGAGTCTGGCCTGTTTCAACCCAGATCAATGGATTTTTCTCTTCTTTGCATTCTGTGGCTATTATTGCTTCTTCAGAGAGTTGTGGGGTATACTGTTATTCTTTCTGGGTGCTAAGGAAATTCTATCTTAGTTTATTCCCTTGGAGAAACTAACTCTAGCTGCCTCACATCAGACAACTTAATCCCTCTAAACATTGTTCTTTGATTGTTGTTCTTGATTCTCTTTGCCCATCTTTTCGTCTATATGATACTTTTTATTATTGATTTACAAAAAATAATTTTCATACTAATTAAAGAGTTAATCATATTAACTCCTATTGGTGGACAGATGTGTTTTTTTTTACAGTTTGTTCTCTATTTTGTTTTTTACCACTTGCAATTTTTAATGATTTGCTTTTTAAACTTTTTTTATTATTGTAAGCTAAATATCTCCTCACTATAAAAAATTTCAGGAAACCAAATCAAAACAGAAAACCCCTGAAATATAAATAAAAATAATTTAAATTTCCTCTTCCTAAGTAACTATTGTTAACATTTTGGATCATGTTTTTTATGACTTTGCTTATTTATATTTATATATTATATATGTTTATGTAGATTTATATATGTATATGTAATGTACATATACATCAATATTTTAAAATATCTCTATATTCATATTCACACTTAGTTTTACAAAAGGGGAATCATTTTTTTCGGCCTAATATGACACTTTTGTTTTAGCCAGTCAATATAGGTTATATCATCATTTTAAATTATTCAAATGATATTTCATTTTACAAATGTGCTAATCATTAATTGAGTCTCTTAAAAATGCTATATAGTAACATTATTTTCTAGGCACTGGGAGTAGACAACGTATACAATTTCTGCAAAGGTGGACCTTGAATGCTAGTGGAGAAAAATACAATAAACAAATACATTTTTAAATATATTATAAGGAAATCATAAGTACTAGAAGGAGGAAAGAAAGTAAGGATCAGGATAGAGAGTAATGGCTTGGTGTGAGGGTACAGGGTTCTCAAGGAAAGCCTCATAAATGAGCAGGAGCATAATTAAAGCATGGGAACCAACCCACTGTGACACTCTTCATAGCAAAAATCAAATGCAAGTCCACAAAGTGAGTTTTTTGTTTTTGTTTTCAAAACAATCTGATATTGGTTAACCTTTAGATTACTTCCAGAATTTAAACTTCTAAACAGATTTGGAAGAATTATTTTTTGTTAAAATACTTTCTAAATTTTTTGCATGTTTTCTAACTTTTGTTCTTTTTTTTTTTTTTGAGAAAGCAGGATTTGAGAGGACAGAAAAGCTCCCACAGTGGGAGGGGACCTGAAGGGGTTGCCCTGTTCTCCTTAATTTTCAAAACCACTTCTTCATTGTCTGTCTCCCTGACTGTAATATTAGAAAAATGTGAGAGTGTATGTCAAGGGACGTTAATCTGGCACCATCCTACTCCAGAGGTCTAATTCATATGTACTTAGAATAAAAATGAAACTTTTAGGAATAAAAATAAGACATTGTCAAAGAAGGCTACAATATAGAATATTTAATTCAGAACGGAATATTTATGGCTAAGATTTTTTAAAATGGAAATAACTTGCCCTGAGCTTTACTGCTATTTAATACTTTTAAAAATACCACTTTAACATTATGAAATCTTTAATAAAAAAAACTTTAAAAAATAAGAACTATGACACAAATACTTTTTGTCCCCCTTAGGTAGCTGATGCCAAGTCTTTCTCAAGACCTTTTAACGTCTTGCCTGTAAAGACAAAATGGAGTAATGTTGGCTTTCATATTCTGCTATTTGATTTGGAAAACCTTGTTGAACTTTTGTTGCCAACTCCACTCGGTGATGTTGACATTTCCAGTTCATTCTATGGTAGTGATATCTTGAGAAGAGCCAAGAGCACAGTAGAGAAGAAGACACTGACACTGAAAAAAAGCAAAACTTCATGTGTTCCTCTCTCAGCAGAAGCACAGGCCAAACCTGCTAGTGAAAGCCTGGTCCAAGGAGATAATGCCATCAAATTCTTAGAAGAAAATGATGTCATTAAAAGGCAGAAGAAAATGAAGAGTTCCAAAAAGATGTACCTTAAGCCATCAAGAAAAGTGGATACCAATCTCACAATAGACACAGCTAAATTATTTCTGTCTTGCCTTTTGCCATGGGGAGTGGATAAAGAATTAGATCATCTCTGCATTGAGCATCTCAATATTTTAAAGCTTCAGGGTCCTGTTTCTTTAGGACTTGCTTCAAATGAAGATCACTTCTCATTGATGTTGCCAGGTTGGGATTTATGCAATTCTGAAATGAAAAAAGACTATTCAAGAGTAAATTTATTTTCCAGAAAAGTTTTGGACTTGTCAAATAAATACACAGCCACTCTTCTAAATCAGGTTGGAATTCCAAAAGGACTGGAAAATAATTGTGATTCTTTGCAAGTGTCAAATACTATAGTTTATTTATTGAGCAGACTATTTTTAATTAACAAGTTAGTTAACATGCCTTTAGAACTGGCCTGTGGAGTTGACAGGTAAGACATGCCTAGTGATTTTGACTATTTTCTAACTTAAGACATTAAAAAATTATCACCATTTGCTATATTCAGCTCTGTAGTCTTTGTTCTGATGGGGGATAAATATGCAAAAACTTCTTAAGTTCAAAACATGTTTAAGGCTAGGCATGGTGGTTCACACCCATAATCCCAGCACTTTGGAGGTCGAGGCAGGAAGATTGCTTGAGCTCGGGAGTTCAAAACTAATCTAGGCAACATAGCGAGATCTCTTCTCCACTAGAAATAAAAAAATTAGGTGAGCAGGGTGGCATAATCCTATAGTCCCAGCTGCTCGGGTGGTTGAGGTGGAGGATAGCTTGAATTCAGGAGTTTGAGGCTGCAGTGAGCCGTGATTATGCCACTGCACTCTAGTCTGGGTTACAGAGCAATACTCCCCACTCAAAAAGCAAAAACAAACAAAAAACCCATTTACAAAAATCTCCTTTCAATTCTGTGGGACTGGAGAATAATTTTTCAATAAATCTCTATGTTTTTAAACTCATTCATTTAACAAATGTCCGTTGTTCACATAATGTGTGCCAGGAAAGATGAAGTGCTGGATACTGAATGAGTCGATACATATATGCATACATACGTAGACACAACCACACCTTGAAAACTATTATACATGGTGTAAATAAATATTACAACATTTAGCTGATACCAATTATACTATTTGGTGTATATTTCGTCATTTTAAAATAGAAGAGACTATCCAGTAATTCATCTATAGAAAGTACAATTAAATAATAATAATAGTTATTTTTGAGTGTTTATATCTGTTAATCTCTGTGTTATCCTTTACATTCATAATTTTATTTAATACGCACAGCAAAGCAGGGGTACAAGAACTATTAATTTGCTATTTATATAGTTGAAGGCAGTTATATAGTTGAAGACTTATGAAAAGAAAGTATCAAACCCTGGGTTAATTCAATTCCTGAGAGACTGATAGAGGACTGAGCATCAGTTTGATTTGATCACTTGATTATTGCTAACTTCAGTTTTGTTTTTCTCCTTCTACCACTGTTAAAATTCAGTATAATTTTTTTGTACTCTGATGTATAATGGTTGAATTCAATTCACCAAGAGTTTACTTACTGAATTTCTCCTATGTCCTTAGCACTATCCTACAGAAGAAATATAAATTAAATTTACAACTTATATAGGAGCTCATTCAAATGATAATGCAATGAAACAAGTAGAACACACTGAAATAGAGTAAAGAAATAAGAAAAACACATCCATACTATAAATATGTAGTATGGATGGTCAAAGTAAAGAAAAGAATCAATGACGGAGGAAACCATCAGAAAGACTTTTTAGAAGACACACTGTCTGACCTGCCCACTACATGGTGGTAGATGGTCCTTGACATTTCTATTGATAAGAGCTCAGTTCAACAAATATCTTTGCCTTGCACCATATAATAGACAGAGTTCCTGCCCTCAGTGAACCTACATTCTGGTGAAAGTCCAGTATATGGATTATATAGGATTCAGTTTTATGCTTCATTTCATTATAATGCTTTTATTTTACTAGGTTTTCAACTTTCTGTTCAGTGGCCATATTAAAGAGAAAACAGACACTGGTAAATTTAATTGATTCATGCATGTAAATTTTTCTTTTTTGTTTGTCTTAAATGCCTAAATTTAAAAAAAAAAATTCAGATAGTTTTTACTTTTTTTTTTTTTTGAGTCATATTCTCACACTTGCCCAGGCTGGAGTGCAGTGTGCTCATAGCCATATCAGCCTCGACCTGCTGGACTCAGGCGATCCTTCCACATCAGCCTCCCAAGTAGTTGGAACTATAGGCATGCGCCACCACACCTGGCTAATTTTTTGATTTAGTATAGAGATGAGGTCTCACCACGTTGCCCAGACTGGTCTTGAACCTGTGAGCTCATGCAATCCTCTCGCCTCCGCCTCCCAAAGTGCTGGGATTATAGGCGTGAGCCACTGCTCCCAGCCTACTTTTCTTTCTATTACTAAGAACATTATACAGCACCAAAGTATGGTGAAAAAAACATGGTCTACCTAGGATTGAATCTTGGTTTTGTTGTCACACTAACTGTGTAACGTTGGACTAGTCACTTAGTCTTTCTGGGCCTTATTTTCCTCATTTACAAACTGAGGTGGGTGGGATAGGTCATCTTCAAATTCTTAAAAACATACGTTGTTAGCAAATTTGATGTATTTGCCTAGTTGTGATCTCACAGAGCAGATGAGGCACTCTGTTATTCTTTGCCAGAAGTTTTCATCCTGAGTTTGTTCCTAATAGAGAGTAAAGGATGGAGATGATAGGTCTGGTGCTTTTTAGGGGAGCTTACGGGTTTTTATCATGCCTTGTTGTCATACATTAGTTGATTCTTTGAAGAATTCTTCATTAAAACAAATTATAGAATGAAGGTGTCAGAATTAGACACTACTTCTCTTAATCAGTCATTCCAGATTTGATCTGCTGTTGGAGACTGGTATCATTTTTCAGAAAATCAAAATAATGTATACTGGATTTATCATACTAAATCCTTTCAACAAATTTGACCATTTCACAAGCATCTTGTTCTGATTGTATAAGTTAATAAATCTCTGTATGCTGAACAACTGGGTGCACAATTTAACTGAATTTTAAGAAAATAATTGTCTGCCTATGAGAATATTTCTGACAGTGTCTGTAGATTATTATGATTGAAATACTGGCCTAGCCTAAAATCTGCCTTCATAAATTCTCCATGGTACATAGGGAGAATTCTTTGACTGATATTGGGATTCATAAATTTTTTGTGTGAGCCAGAAGTCATGTGACTAAAAATAGCAAGGCCCCTTCTGTAAAAGTGGCACCCAGATTATTCTGGTGAACTAATAATTGAGATTCAGCTGAGATTAAAATTTAAAGTGGGAAAATAAGAGATTGATGTGAAAGATATTACTAAAAATAACCTGTGTTCAACTTCCACATTTGTTAAGGTGGTCATGTACCCATATCTTTAATTTATTTTCTCAGAGTATTTTTCATACTATCTTAGTAATAAACTTTAAGTCTTTTTTTCCCAACAGTTCTCTCAAAATGGAATTTGTACGTAATAAGGTGAAAAGTCCTGGGAATGATATTTTGAGTATTTCAAGCTTCTATGGTTACTTGCGAAATGGTAAGGAAGTTACAGACACATAAATAATCTGTTTTATTTTTTCCTATGAAATAAAGTAACTGGCCTTTCTATAACTGCATAGCAATGTTAAAATAAATAGAATTGTATAAATCATAAATTTTTGAAATGATCCTAGGAATGCCTGAAAGTCTAAAATTTTTCAGCAAAGAAAATATTTAGATATAAATTAAGATGTTAAAATTAGATGTTATATTAGATAATTTTATTGCTATTTCAGGAGGTTATATTCTTCTAAGGCACAATCTTGAATTCTTCTGAGTAACAATATTACTGTTTAGATTTTCTTTGATGGCAAATGGCTAATTCATCTCCCAAACCTGCTTCTACAAACTTAGGCATCTTGGTAAATGACAGTACCCCCCTTCCAGTTGCCAGTTGCTCAGGCCAAGAACTTTGGTATCGTTTTTTACTTTTGCTTTATTTCCTATCCCACATCCAGTCTTTTAGTAATCATGTTGGTTCTACCTTCAGAATATATACCAGAATCCAGCGGCTTCTCACCACCTACACCATCAATTCCCTCCAGCCCCATCCTATGTGAGCCTTCAACCAGTCTTGCCTGGATGACCGCAGAAGACTCCTAACCTCTTCTTTCCTCTTATTCTGGGCTGTCACAGTATATCCCCAACCAGTCAGCCAGAGTGATCTATTTGAAACCATCAGAACCTCACTCTTCTACTGATAGCCTTCCAGTGGCTTCTGTTTCAATCAGAATAAAAACCATAGTCCTTACCATAGCACACACTGTGATGATCTGACCACTCTACCTATGTCTTTGCACACACACTTTCAGCTGACCTTATCTCTTAGTATTCATCCCCTGCTTAACTCACTCCAGCTACTCTAGCCTTTTTACTTTTACCCAAGCATGACACAAAAGTCTTAGGACCTTTATGTTAACCATACCCTTGCCTGAAATGTTCTTCCTCTGGATAGCCATATGATTCAACCTACTCTCCCTCCACCTGTCGCCACTCTTCAAGTCTCGCACAAATGCCGTTTTATCAGAGAAGGTGCCCTACCTGCCCAGGACTCTCTACCCCTTTCCCTGTCATGTTATTCTTAGAATCCTCTTCACTAACTGACATGTATCTGAAATGTATAACTTGTTTTCATTTCACCTGCTTCCTGCTACTAAATTGTAAGTGACATAGAAGTTATATTTTTATAAAAGCTTTATTCACTGTTCCCAGTGTCCCCAGTTCCCAGAACAAAGCCTAGAAGGAATTCAAAAACATTTTTTTTTTACTTAGTGGATGAATAAAATCAAAAGATAAATAGTGAATAGAAAAATGGTTTTGGAGATATATGAGGTGGTTGAGGTTCAAGATCCAGCTCTGCTATTTACTACTTATGTCCCATTGGTCATGTCTTGTATTCCTCAGAAACCCTATTGAATACATTGGTAAAGGTAATATGATTCCAGACTTGATGTGCATGTTGTCTCCAGATTGTGTAGTATATAATATATAAAATGGTGTGATCCTGAATAATAATACACAATGACCCTCACAGAACTATCGAGAATAATATTTTCAAGGGAAAGTTTATTAATAGCTTCCAGTTATCTAGTGCCTAGTCTGTTCCAAGAATTATGTTAATGGTTTTACATAGATTATTGCATTTAATATATAAACAACCTTGCACAGTCAGAGGAACTATCTTTGTTTTACCATTAGAAAAATTAGGACTTAGAGAAGTTAGATGACTCATAGTCAAACAGCTATTAAGCTGAGGGCCTGCACTGCAATCCAAATCTGATTCCTACATGCTTTTTTCTGTCTACTGTATCAGGCTGTTTCTCATATTTATGATGGTAAATAGCATTGCCTGTATTTGACCCCAACTTTCTAGTTAGGTAATAATCTTCATTAGGGTTAGCAATCCAGATTTTATATTTTTATAACACTGGAAAAGGGATTGGAATTTAAGACTTAATGTAAGTGTTTTTGCAAATACAGGGAATCTCTAATCAGAGCCAAGGAGATGCCTGCTTTTCTATAAATGCCCTAACCAAAGCAGCCTGAGCAACTATCACTACTACTGAATAATCTCCCTGGTGTTTAGGGTGGCATTTATACCATTCAAAGTTCACTTAAGAACTAAGGAAATATGTTGTTTTTTCAATAATAGTAAGATAGGAAGTTGAAAAAAACTAAATTCATGATATTAATTTTATAAAATCAAACCATAAAGAATAATACTTTGAATTACTCACTCTAAAAGATGGATAGCAGCCAATACTCATTTCTGTCAGCAGGAATAGTGACTAGTGATGTTGGTAAGCCTGGGATGTTTTCTTTCCCCCATCAAGTTGCAATTAATTCTTTAACTCACTGATATTGCCAAGGCAAGTTGGCTCTAATTTCCATCGCAGATTAAAATTTTAACATCACTTTAAAGTATGCTGTGAAGTACCCCATGTTGCCAGTAAGTAGTTATAGTTGAGACCAATACTAGCTTTGATGATTGAGTCACAAAGTCAACACAATGAGAAAGGGAGAAAGGAAGGAGATCAAAAGAACATTTTTTCTTACCTGCTGTGTTCATGAAGAAATGGAAATATGACTTCAAGATCATAGTCCTGTAGCATGCATATTTTTTGCACTGTTCTTGGTCATTTAAAATTTACATTAAATGTTCTATCAGTAAAAAATAATAATCGGTCAGAACTGTCTTATTATTTATTTCATTTTCTCAATTTGCACTATGCCTAAATCTATTGTATTTTTTGACTGCTAATGTGGTAAATATATATATATCGCATATTATATATAAAATGGTGATTCAATGAAAGTTATATTGGGCAAATGCTAATTTAAATAGTTGATACCAGGATGTCAAACATATATAAATATATTCATTTAAATTGACAGTTTTAGTGATAATTTTCCTGCCAGTTCAAGCCTTCATTCTTCTTCCCTATCTCACCCCTGGGATTTGGCACCTAAATAACATACTTTAGCCATTAGAAAGCCTTAATTCATCAATTTTTCATTCATGTGATTGTACAATTTCGATTAATGAAAAGGCACTTATTAAGAGCTTTTTTGTGTAGGGAACTGCTAGACACTCTATGGATCAATTTAAATAGACCAAGCTCTAGCTCACTCTTAAAATTTCATACTTTCTCCACTGCCCAAAACAGTTTTTGAACTCATCAGTTTTTATGCCTTTTAGTGCTTCTGCCATTTTTGTTTCATCTCTTCCACATTGGCAAAATATTTCCCTTTGAGGACTTTTTTCATCTGGGGAAACAAGAAAGAAAATGTAGCTCAGGGCGCAATCGGCTGAATAGGGAGGGAACAGTACGGGACCCATGCTCTTTTTGGTCAAAAACTGCGGAATGCTCAGTGCAGTGTGGGCAGGTGCATTGTCATGGTGGAAAAACCAGTAACCTGTTTGCCACAACTTGGGACATTTCTTCCACAAATCCTGATGCAACCTTCCCAAAACTTCCAGCTAAAAACTTTGGTTGATTATTTGACCTGGAGGAACAAATTCCAAGTATATTACAAGGAGTGTGCCCTCCAAAAAATAATTTGGGTTTTGGGAGGTTGCTCCCCATATTTGCATGAAAAAGGAATTGTAAAATTTGGTGATCTGTCTTGGATTAGCAAAAAGGTACAAAGATGAATTTAGGTTGAAAAATGAATTTGATTTGACAAGGATATGTGTTAGTATAATTGTTAGAAATACATATAAATCGGCAACTGCTTTGGGTCCCCTCCCATTGTGGGAGCTTTTCTGTGCTCTCAATAAATCCTGCTTAAAAAAAAAAAAAGAAATATATATAAATGTATATATACATATTAATGTTTCTTGACTCTGGTTGTATATGTAAATCATCTGAAGTACTTTTATACAGTATTAATGCCTGCCCCATGACCTATGAAATCAGAATCTCTGGAAGATTGAAACTAAGTATTGGTGTTTGTTTATACAAAACAAAACAAAAAACCAACTCCTCAAGGTGAGTTAACACTATTCTCAAGGTATAAATGTGGGCCTCCTCTTCCCTATTCTTTCTGGAGTTAAAAAAAAAGGAGATAAATATATATAATGTATTTTTCTTTTTTAGAGAGATAGAAATGTGTTCTCTATATTTCTAGGTAAGAATGAATCCCATGTACCTGAGGCTGACCTTTCACTTTTGAAGTTAATTTCCTGTTGGAGGGACCAGTCTGTGCAGGTATGATATATTTATGATATATTTCATGTTCTTGATGTTATTGGAAGAGTTCCTTGCTGCTGTGGTTCATTGAAAACCCCCCTTTTCTGAAAGTACAAGTAAATTATTACTATTGTTCCACAAAATGGCCTTCTAGGACATTCCTTTTACAATCCTGGGGATGAGGAAAAACACAGAAGATAAAACAAGCAAGGTTACACCATTTACCAAGGGAGCATGAATCGAGGGAGCCAAGGAAGGGAGGCTCTTGCCATCACAGATAGCTTCTTGTTCATTGAGGTTCCAGTTTCAGGCAGACTTGTCTATTATTTGATCTCAAAATGTGTCATGACATTAAGGTATCTACGTGTGGGAATTTGGGTATATGAAATTAAAAATCATTTTTCTTTATCCTAAGAGTAGCTTGCCTGTGAGTTGATTTAGAGAACTGGTATCTTCAATATCCAATTTAAGTCTTTTTTCCTCTTTTAAGGTCTCTTTTGGTCCCAAAATCTTACTGGTAGCTTTGTACATTATACAATAAATGTCTATGCATTGATTAGATGAATGTTCATTAAAACTGTATTATTTTTCATGACTTGATAAATATCAAATTTGCAAGAGAGACTAGCAATAACTCCAATTACAAATAGCTATTCTTGTTTATAGGGAAACAAATTTAACTCAAAACAACTTCTAGGAGTTGACACCAAAATATTAAATATATTCTATAGGAACAACTGTGGAAACCTGTCACCTTAGCCTACAAGTTTCCACATGATTTTGCCCTTGCTTAACTATATCTGTCATAATTTCCCCACTCCCTGTTCCTACCTTGATGTAGCCACACTGGTTTCTTTTTATTTTCAGAAAGCTAATTTCCAATTCAGGAGCTCAATGTTCTCTCCGGCTGAAATTCTCATTTCTTCACTAATCATCTAGCTCTTTGCTAAAAAATCTACTTTCTTAGAGAAGTCTTCCTGATGACTCCAACTAATATTGCCACCTCATTCTGCCCCACCTCACGTATTGAGTCACCATCACATTACCCAGTTTTATTTTTATGTTGTTGTGATTGCTTTTGATGGAAATATACCATTTACTTTTTTGCTTGTTTATTTTCTGTCTTCTCACTGTTATATAAGCTTGCTGAGAGCACTGACCTTGTTTGTCTCATTCACCCTTCTCTTACCAAAACCCAGAAAAGCAGTAGTGACAGTAGCTAGTCAATAAATATTTAATGAGTGAATAACTATGCAAACAGCCTCTGTGGTAGTCAGAATAAACACTAGTACATGCTAACGTTGTCAGCACATTAGCAGTCACCCCAAAAGAGTCTATCTACTAAAAGTGTGGTGTTTTTTTTCCCACAGTAGCCAAAAATTTCTTCAATGGGGGACAAAAATCCCTAAGGATTCAATAGAACATAAATTATCCTAAGTTGCTCTAATCTAAAAATATTTTGTAGTTGTTCATTTGACCTTCAAATAAATGTGAATGTGGTTTGAGTATGTTTGGACTAATGGACCTTTAAGGTTCTTTGATTCTATGACCTGTTTTGACATGCTGGTCATAGGACAAATGATCTCAGAACATTTACCCACTCTATACGAAGTCCAAGCTTCAAAGAACTCCTCTCATATCTACTACTAGTCCAATGCATGACTCTGAAAGAGAAGTTTAACTTGTTGATTATTTATCTTCCTCATATGTAAAGTGGAAGTGAGAGTTCCTGGGCCCTTCTGGAACAACAGAAGTACCTGTTTCAATAACCAACCCTCAAATTCTTTATAAAGCCATTCATTTAAGCAGCTAGTTGAATCATGTTAGCTTGATTTTACTTTTTTATGTATTTCAGGAGTACTAGGTGGTAATGGAATACTTTTGTAAAACAGAACAAAATTCTAAATTCTACCTTTAAAGTAGGGGATAAGAATGAGTTAATTTTGCAAATGAAAAAGTTTGTCCAGAGACTATCTCTTTTGCTTCTTGCACATTAAATACTCAACATAAAAATAAATGCTGGAAAAGAAAAGGAAAGCTTTGGGGTTGCTAACTTGCATGTTTCTGGAACTGCACTAAAGATTTTTGGATTTTATAATCTAATACTAGTGAGTGCAAATCATAACATCGAGGCCTCCAGGAAGAAGTGTTGCTTTTCCAGGAGACACTGTGAAGACACGAAAGGCAAACGAGAACTCAAGAGTTGAGAAAATGGTTTTATAACAGAAAATCTAGACATTAGAACAAGAGGACTTAGGGGTTCTTACACATCTTTATGAGTTTCTATGCTATTTTACAGTATTTTGCTCTTTCAAGCTGTTAGTGGAATGCCACCAAAAATTTTTAGCTTGCTTATGGCTCAGTAATAAATACTTTTAGTAATAAGTATATGACCCAGATTTGTGACTGATTCTTTCCAACCAATGGATTTGTAAATCTTATTTCGGATCTTGGCACATTCTCTCATAAAAGAGTATAATACTTTGCATATCTACCTTTTCAGAGATATTTATTTTTATGCATTTGGAAGACATCTTTATAGCCATAGTGCTCTATTTTAGCTCATTATTAAAATCATAGCTATATAAAATACTATATAAAAACTTTATATTTTGCTGGAAAAATTCTATCCCTATTGACTATCTATAAAATTTATCTTCTATATTTATATACTAGACTCAAGTATTGATAGTTATAAGCTATCAATAAATTATACTTTCCATAGTTTATATTTGAAAATATAGAGTCTGTTTCAGTTCCATTAGTATTTGTTTCATGCCCACTGTATGCTAGATACTGTGATAACATTAACACTTGCTGATAAGATATACCTTTTCTCTCTAGATGAGAAGAATATTGAGTATTGCTCTCACATTGAGCTTGACGTGTATATTTTGAGTTTGTTTCCAACTGGATGTCTGACATTCAGTATTCACTTTTAATTTTTATGGCTCTGAGTATCCTACTCATCATGGTTAATATATTGTATTTTATTCTATTGTTATTTCTGTCTCTCTTGTTTTTTGATGTTTCTCATATTATTTTTATCACATGCATTTATAGTGACAACTCTAAAAAAGATTAGCAATTACAAAATCTGATATGATGACATGTAAATCAATGACATAAAAATCAAATGATTAGAAATGTTAAATGAAATTACATAAATCTCTGTATATTTTTAAGAAATAATAATGACTCAAGTTGTATAGGATGTAGTTATATATCCAGTGGGAAAGATGGCATTTTATATCACATGTGGACATACTTCAGAGATGATAACCATTCCTGGGTAAGAGGGCAGCCATAGCCCAAGGAAGACATGTGGCTAAACTGTTCTGAGGGATATGCCATAGTCTGAACACATTGTGTGTCTAAGGATACTACTCTCCATTATCCGTCTTGATTTATAGATACGAAAAGAGCAAGTTCCACATAATACTCTGTTATTGAAAATGCTTATCCCCATATCTCTCAGTATTATAGATTTTATTTTATAAGTCATGATATGGAGCTTCAGAGAAGTTTGTGACTTGCCAAGGACTGCATTTGTAGTAACTGTCCTGTTGGTTAAGAAACTCAAATCTCATAACTTCTGATCCCGAGTTTTTTTCCACCACATTATCCACATGTTGAAAATGGTGCTGTAGTCGGGCTGGGTGGCTCAGCCTGTAATCCCGCGCCTTTGGGAGGCTGAGGTGAGTGGATTGCCTGAGCCCGCGGGCTTGAGACCCGCCTGGGCAGGCGAGACCTCATCTCTACAATAAATCAAGAAAAAAAAAAAACTAGCCATGCATGGGAGCACGCACCTGTAATTTCGGCCTACTCGGAAGGCTGAGGCCGAAGGATCACTGGAGCCCAGCAGGTCAAGGCTGCAGTGGCCGGGAGTGGCCACTGCACTCCAGTCTGGGTGACAGAGTGAGACTCCAGCTCAAAAAAAAAAAAAAAGAAAAGAAAATGGTGCTGTAAAATAGTATGTGTGACAAGTTAAAATGAAATAAATTTGTAATATAAAATTGTTCATCATGAATAATAACATATACCCCATCATGTGATATACATATATCAACATAGTGTGGTTTCCCAATATTGTGATATATAACAGCATATGTTAGTAAATACCATATACAATAGTTAATATATTATCATGTCTCATCACATGGTAGATATTAATAGGCATGATTCACTGGCATCATGATATGCAGAGCTATATATAAGATTCATGATATGTAATAAATATTACAATGCTGAATATCTCATCAAATGATATTTATGAATAAGCATCATTTACTTGTGATAGACAGTCTTCATGTTAGTATTCTTGCTATGCAATAGTAAAATCCTACCCATTCATTAGCCATTTTTTCCACTCTCTAATTAAACATTTGAATGTGAACTGGACAAGGATTTGAATAATCAGCAATCAGGAAGCAGCTCCAATACTCTCAAGAAGCTTCCTATATTCAAAAGTCTGGTGGCAGCTCCTCCACCCCAGTAGTCCAGTGAGCATCTACCATCAGCATAAACTCTCTGAGTTTCCCTGGAGCCCTAAAGTTCTCATCTGCTACCATGACACCCAAAAGAAACTGAATAAATGTTTAGAAGGAAACATGTTCCCTCTTTGGCCACAGCATTTCTAGATCACTACTCTCAGTTGATGTTGTCCCACGTGCTCTGGGCATGCCAGTGGGTAGGCTGAAAATAATGGGGAGGGGGCAGTGGCAATTGTGGAATATGGGTCAGCCTGAAAGAGAGAAGGCTTCTGAAGGAGAAAGGAGCAGGTATCGGGAGGTGGCTGTATGAAAGGTTTAACTGTTGACCAGAAAGGGAAAATGGGAAGGTGACCCGATTTTGCCCATATCAGCAATTTCCTTCTGTTTCTTTCCCTGGCTCTTGACTTTCTTTGGGATCTACTTGACGCCTGGGCCTTGCCTCATTGCTTGTCAGAAAGAATCCTAGGCAAACTGTCAACAGTTTTGCACTGAGGGGTGTGAATGCAGAATCTTGGGTGGACATGTACTATTAAGGATAGAGAATCAGAGCACAGAAGATCTGTTCACCTTGGGATGTCATGTCCCAGATTCTTCGTTTTAAAAATGAAGAATTTGAGCTGGGTGCAGGAGCTCACACGTGTAATCTCAGCACTTTGAGTGGCTGGGGTGGGAGGATTGCTTGAACCCAGGAGTTTGAGACCAGCCTGAGAAACAAGACGTCATCTCTACCAAAAAAAAGCTAGTCATAGTGGCTTGCGCCTGTAGTCCCAACTACTCAGGAAGCTGAGGCAGGAGTTCAAGGCTGCAGTGAGCCATTATCCTGCCAGTACACTCCAACCTGGACCACAGAGTGAGACCCTGACTCAAAAAATAAAAAAAGAAAATGAAGAATTTGATTAGATGCTATGTAACAAAGGTCCCTTTTCTTTTCACCCAACCACTGGTTCTTAATACAGCAATTGAGAGACATACTTTTTAGTGTTTTAATCGACATACAATCACATATGTGTATACACAGTTTAGTGAGATTTACTTTTAAAACCCTTTCTTTAACTTTCTATATTGAACATAGTTTAAATCCAGTGTTTCTTTTTTTGTTTTGTTTTGTTAGCTAAATGGTGCTTTAGAGCCAAACATAGTTTGAGGCCCTAACCTTGGCTTTAAGGGCAATACAATATATTCAAATTAATTTTCTTTATCTTCTGGTGGAAATTAAAATAGCTTAATTAAGAGAAATAATTGAAAACTCTCAGCCCTATAGTCTAATGGACTTTAAAAACTCCTCTTTCATATCCTACTTTTAGAATCCCTTCCCTTGCATTTGTGAAAGAACGTTGTAAGAGTTTGGGTGCCAGTTCTCACTATCCACATTTCATTTGTTTTAGATGCTAATGCTAGAAGACTGGAGAATTATCTTTTATGGAAAATCTATTCAAATATAAATTCCTGGTTTTGGATTTTTTTGTAAGACATCCAAGCATCTGAAATAATACAAAAATAATTCATTAAAAAATGTTCTACAGGTAACTGAAGCAATACAAGCTGTACTCTTGGCAGAAGTTCAACAACACATGAAGACTTTGAGAAAGATACCAATCAATAATCAATCAGTGTCCGTGGCAGAGAATGGTAACTGTGAGATGATACAAGTCCTATCAAAGATGGAATGGGCAGAAGAACTAGAGTTACAGTGTGTTAGAAACACTTGCCCTCTGCAAAGTAAGTACAGAATTTATTGGCATGCTCTTGGAGCAGAATTTTTGCACTACAGATGGTCCCCAACTTATGATGGTTTAACTTACAATTTTTTGACTTGTAATGTAAAAGTGACAGGCATTCAGTAGGCTCCTCAACTTATGACAGGGTTACATCTAGATAATCTCATTGTAAGTTTAAAATATCATACAATGGGTTTATCTGGAAGTAACCCCATCACAAATCAAGGAGAATCTGTTCTTAGAAAGTGTTGAGAATATGAATTCACAATAAATCACTTTGGCAAGAAGCAAGACAAGTGCTCTCTTTCTGACCTATTCTGCTATCAATTTTCTCTTATAATTGTCAAGTTTTTAAAAAACTTATAGATTATATTATGATCGCAAATATTTGTCAGGAGAAAAATTTTTATTATTATTTATAACAATGTTTTGAAATTAAGTGATTAAAAATAAAAACAGAATTAACAGTAATAACTTAATAGGACATATATTACAAGGGTATACTAATAATAATGGGTAAATTTGTTTCCATTTTGTACCTTGATAATAGCCATGTATCAATATTTCTTTTCTGAGCATAAGAAATATAATTAGAGCAGAGTTAATCATTACACTTAAGCTAAGAGTTTTCAATTCTTTCTCCTAACTCGAAATTAAACTGTTTTTATAGTTGAACCACTTGATTTTTATAACAAACTTCATCACCGCAACTTTCTAATGATAGTATTTATGATCCAGGGTTAACAAATCAATCTAAACTTATTCTGTAAAATACTGCCTGTTTTTTTGTTTTGTTTTTTGGTCAACCCGTTAGCTGTGACTTAAAAAAAAAATTAAAAATTAAAAAGAAAATTAAGTATAAATTCAATTTTCAATTTTATCAAATTTTTTATGAGTAATTTATAATATGATTGTACTGTGTATCTTTGTTAGGAAAATATGTTACAAATGTATATATTACAGGTCATTAAATTGTCAGGTTCCTTTTAGCTCTTGCAAAGATTTTTACTTTTATTTATTTGAGACTCAGAAAAATGCCATTATTTTAAAATGTTAAATCTTAGAACAAGTATCATTCTTAGAAAATTATTATAATGATTTTTTCTTATTATTTTTAGAACATTTACTAGTTGGAGAATGTTACATAGTGAGCAATGAAAAGCATATTCAGTGAAGACCAAAGATCAAAATAGGTAGAATACTTCTTAATGCCAGGACAGTCACTGATCATGGTAAATTTAATAATTTGATAATGCTGATATAATAAAGCTAATAATTGGTTTGTTTGTTTGCCAGAAAGTTTGCTTTTGATCATATCACATAATTGTGGTTATACTATACCTTTCAAGAAGGAAGCAGAAAAATACCTTTTTAATTAATTTTCAGTGACTACATTTGAGTTCTTGATTCATATGGAGACCCAGTTATAATGTCATTGATACGTTTCTTCCCACTCTCCCGGGACAGCTGGTGCCATTTATCATTGTTAACTCTCATCAGGTAGCATTTCTCTGCCTTCTCCTTAATCTTGAAAATCTTCCTTATTCACTCTTATTTCTCTTTTCTGGGTAAGAAATTCTTAGTCAGCTATGAAAATGAAACTTTAGATGAGTTTTGCTGTCACGTGGTTTACCCATATTCAAAGTTTCATCAGATGGGGCCCAGTTCAGTCCCTAGTTCCCTCTTGGGCTGGTATCACTAGCCAGGTGACTGAAGTCCCAGCTACTCAGAAGGCTGAGATGAGAAGATGAAACAAGATCACCTGAGCCTAGGAGCTTGAGTTCAGCCTGGTCAACATAGGGAGACCTTACCTCTAAAAAAGAACGATAACTGTTTGCTATGGAACTGTTTACTATGACTAAAGACATTTGAATTTAAAGTTTGGTGTTAACTATCTTTTGATTGCTGAGCATGATGGCTCACACCTGTAATTCCAGCAGTTTGGGAGGTGGAGGTGAGAGAATTGCTTGAGCCCAGGGGTTCGAGACTAGCCTGGGCAATGTGGCAAGACCTCATCTCTACAATAAAAAAATTTTTTTTGAGTTGGAGTCTCACTCCATCACCCAGGCTGGAGTGCAGTGGCACACTCATGGCACCCCAGCATCAACCTGCTGGGCTACAGCGATCCTTTTGCCTCAGCCTTCCAAGCAGCTGGAACTACAGGCCCTCGATGCCACACCCAGCTAATTTTTGATTTATTGTAGAAACGAGGTCTCACCAAGTTGCCTGGGCTGGTCTCGAACCCGCGGGCTCAGGCAATTCGCTTGCGGCGTCCCAAAGTGCTGGGATTACAGACTAAGCCACTGAGCTCAGCCTCTAAAATAAATTTTTAAAAATTAGCCAGGTGTGGTAGCACACACCTGTAGTTCCAGCTTCTTGATTCCATCTTCTTGGAAGGCTGAGGCAGAAGGATCGCCTGAGCCCAGCAGGTCAAGGCTGTGGTGGCTGTGAGCAGGGCAATTGCACTCCAGCAGGAGCAACAGAGTGAGACTCTGAAAAAAAAAAAACTAATTAAATAATGGAAATGTGATTCATCATTAAATAATCCTTTCTTTGCCTATGGCAAAAGAAAATTTAAGGTTAATTTATGATAAGAACTGGAACACCAAAATATTAAAGTTACTATATGTTGGTGGATGAAACTTAAAATCCTTTATTTAAAAGAACAACATATTCACAAAATGCTGGGCATATATTTTCTTCAGAAATATTACCTGCAGGAAAGTGTTAACTTGAATTGGAATTAAATAGGAGACATATTATGTACATTGAAGAGGAACTATCCAAACAATATTATATTTAATATCAATATTGCTCCTTTTTCCCCTTGGGAAAAGTCTTTTTTTTTTTAAACTAATCAGAAGAACTTAGTAAAATTACAGGAAAAGTTTTTAGACTTCCATTATAGTGGCATGTACTACATTATTTGATATGACTTTTTTGGGGGGGTGGTCAGAGTCTCACTATCACCCAGGCTGGAGTCAACACAGCCTCAATCTGGCTCAGGTGATCCTTTTGCCTCAGGCTTCCAAGTAGCTGGAACTACAGATGCGCCACCATGCCCAGCTAAAGTTTTTTGATTTATTGTAAAAGACTAGGTCTCGCTAAGTCGCCCAGGTTGGTCTCAAACTCCTGGGCTCATGCAATCCTCTTGCCTTAGCCTTCCAAAGTGCTGGGATTGCAGGCGTGAGCCACCACACGCACTGCTGAAAGCTGTTTTCTTTATTTCTAACATCCTGAAACAAAGTTTAAGGAGATGGTATAGGTGCTACTTACTAGGTGTGATAGATAAGTCCTCAGATTTCATAGGTGGATTTACCTAGTCCAAGTGTTATTGCAACATATATTACTTTAGAAAATATTCTTAGGGCAAATGGTATATACTGTTTAATTTTATCAGCTTGTTCTCTGTGAGCTCCCCTCCCACATTTTTCTCCTAATTTCTCCTAATCTTTCTTGGTTTCTTGGTGATGCATCTTGTTTGTAGGTCATTTGGAAAGTACAAGATGATGGTTTGGTCATACATAGGTACTCACAAACTTGTTTTATGTTGAATGGCATATCTTGGGTTTATTTGCATTATGGTAATATGACAATAATAGGTCATAAAGAAAAATAATAACAGCAACAATTGTTGAGTTCTTAATACACTTCAACACCATGCTGAATAATTTGTGAATGTTATCTCACTTTTTCCTTTAATTCTCACGTAGTCCATGTGAACTCTAATATTCTATTTTTAACATTTGAGCCCTCTGTGTAAACAACTTCACAGTTTTTTTAAAATGTCCACATTCATGGAAATGAAGTTTCAAAGTACAATTGAAAATAATTATTCTCTGAAAAATATGAAAAAGAAAGATTCCCATAGTACTACCTAAGCTTGTTCTGAAAAATTCCTCTTTAATATTTTTATCGGATGTACTAATTTTATATCTTTCTCATAAGCATTTAAATAAATAGTGCTAAAATAAATCTTTGAAAAATAAGTCCATCACCTGCTATCTTGAATGCTACCAGTGATATTCAAAGATATATTTTCTTTTATTATTCCACACTTTTAAATGATTAAACTAAGACTTAAGAGAGTTTATCCATCTTGCCTACACTCACAAAATTACTAAAAACAGGAAAGCAAACCCAGGTATTCTCCTAAACACAGTGCTCTTATACAGTAAGCTGTATTCTCCATACTGACAACATGGAGAAAATTTGCCTTAAATCAGTTTGACTAAAAAATTGACTAATTTATTGAGTGCTTTTTAAAAGATTTTTATTCATAAATCATACTTTATGTTACCAAAAACAAAAACAAAAAACAGTGTTCAATCATTGGTATCTCAGCCCTTATAATAAAAAAAATCACTATTTGTACAAGATGCACCTAGAAAGCAAAGGAAATCAAATGAAGTGAGAGTTGAAACTCAGTGTGTTTTTGAACTCGTAATTCGGTATCTTATTTAATTCTCAGTGTTTTTACTTGTTACATTTCATAGCAAGTATTTTATTTGTGGTCTTAATATTTGTGTATGTGTGTTTATTGCATAGTGGCAGATTTTATCTGGGTTTTGGTTTCATAATGATTACATTGCTATCTTCCTTGAATCTCTTTAATAAAAAACTGTACAATTAGCACTCACATTTGAGGTTGGGATCCATTACCTTAAAAACAGCAATGGTTTCTATTATTAAAATGCATTTGAACATTATTTCTCTTTACTTTTTTTAAAAAAATGTTATTTGGATCAGTTAAAACAAGTACTCTAAATTGTTCCATTAAATAAATGTGTTGAAATAGAAATGGAGGATTTGTAGATAAAACTGTCAACTTTGAATTATCAGCTGAATTTAAATTTCACGTTAGACTGTGGTTGTGAAAATGATGCATCAAATATGGGCATTGCAAATCATCTTTGTTACACGCATCGTTTTCAAAGACATGTCTAGAAAATTAAATAATGAAAACTTGTTTATTGTTTAAATAAAATTGTTGTGCTGGGC